TTCTGACCACTTATAAAATGCGTTCAATGTGCTGCCCGTTGTGTTGGATGCTCAGTGCAACCCTCTTCTCCCACTCTTCACACACTGATAGCAACACCGCAGGAGAAATGCCAGCACAGGCTTCCAGTATCTGTAGTTTCAGGTGCTGCACATCTTGTGTCTTCTCACTTGTCATGTGATTGGATGATTAGAAATTCATGTCAACGAACAGTTGGACAGGTGTACCTAATAAAGTGGCCAGTTGGGTAGGTCTACATAATCACCTTGTAGTTTTGAAATTATTGCTTTTTTTGCTTTGAGTAGGCCATTCTAAGGGCAGGCTTTTATGATGTTTTAAAAATAAAATCAGTTCACTGTTTTAACTATTTATATGTATCGGCTAATATATCGGTTATCGGCCTACAAATCTAGTTATCGGTTAGAGTTATCCCTGATTTCCATTCATAGGTTCCATTTCTGGTGACTGATTTTTGATAGATGTTACTGAGCAACAGTTATTTATTATTTTTTCAAAAAGGATAATCATGAGTCATAAAGCATTACTTTGCTACAGCAATCCACATGTAAAAATGTTTTTAGGGGCTAAAATCTAAACCAATACCACCTGACAGCCCATGCTACTTTAGAATTTGATGTCTATGTTAGGGTTGTCACAATATGTCAATCAGCTGGTTTGTGTATAAGCTGAAATAAAAGTGATCTGCTGATGAATCGTGACTTTAAAACACTCCAGGGTCCCTGTATCTGTGGTTACACTCAGTGAACAGTGGTGAGTTTGGTGAAGCAATGACCTTCACGGCCAATCACAGTCATTTCTATTGAGCATGTGAAAACATAGCAAATCAGCGCCGTTTAAGAACGTGCTTAAATGTTAGCGGAAAATAGACATTTTTAAAATGTTAGTATCGATTGGTACCAAATTCCAGTATCTTGACAAAGCTAGACTACGTTACAAATATTGTCAAGAGTATTCAAAACATATGGTTATTCAAATCTAATCTAAATACCAACGAACTGCCCATGCTACTTTAGAATTTCATATCTATGTTAGGGTTGTCATGATACTGGAATTCGGTACCAATTGATACTGAATTTTTTTTAAAACGGCGCTAATTTGCCATTGTGTTCATATGCTCAACAGAAATGTCTGTGATTGGCCGTGAAGGTCATCGGATCACCAAACTCACTGCTGTTTACTGAGTGTAACACAGATATAGGGACACTGGAGTATTTTTAAAGTCACGTTGATCAGCTGGTTTGTCTATAAGCTGACATACCAGCGATCTGCTGATGAATTGTGGCTTTAAAACACTCCAGTGTTCCTGTATCTTTGGTTACAAACAGTAAACAGTGGTGAGCTTGGTGAACTGTTGACCTTCACAGCCAATTATAGTCATTTCTATTAAGCACAATGGCAAATCAGCGCCGTTTAAGAACGTGCTTAAATGTTAGCGGAAAATAGATATTTTTAAAATGTTAGTATCGATTGGTACCGAATTCCAGTATCTTGACAAACCTAGTCTACGTTACAAATATTGTCAAGAGTATTCAAAACATATGGTTATTCAAATCTAATCTAAATACCAACGAACTGCCCATGCTACTTTAGAATTTCATATCTATGTTAGGGTTGTCATGATACTGGAATTCGGTACCAATCGATACTGATTTTTTTTTAAACGGCGCTGACTTGCCATTGTGTTCATATGCTCAACAGAAATGTCTGTGATTGGCCGTGAAGGTCATCGGATCACCAAACTCACTGCTGTTTACTGAGTGTAACACAGATATAGGGACACTGGAGTATTTTTAAAGTCACGTCGATCAGCTGGTTTGTCTATAAGCTGACATACTAGCGATCTGCTGATGAATTGTGGCTTCAAAACACTCCAGTGTTCCTGTATCTTTGGTTACAATCAGTAAACAGTGGTGAGCTTGGTGAACTGTTGACCTTCACAGCCAATCACAGTCATTTCTATTAAGCACAATGGCAAATCAGCGCCGTTTAAGAACATGCTTAAATGTTAGCGGGAAATAGATATTTTTAAAATGTTAGTATCGACTGGTACCGAATTCCAGTATCTTGACAACCCTAGTCTACGTTACAAATATTGTCAAGAGCATTCAAAATATATAGTTATTCAAATCTAATCTAAATACCAACGAACTGCCCATGCTACTTTAGAATTTCATATCTATGTTAGGGTTGTCATGATACTGGAATTCGGTACCAATTGATACTGAATTTTTTTTAAACGGCGCTGATTTGCCATTGTGTTCATATGCTCAACAGAAATGTCTGTGATTGGCCGTGAAGGTCATCGGATCACCAAACCATGCTACTTTAGAATTTGAGATCAGTTACAGTATTGTCAAAAATATGGATATCCAAATACCACCGAACTGCCCATGCTACTTTAGCTTTCATATTCCAGTCGTCCCTGATTCATAAGAGTGATATTTACGATAAAAAATGACATGAGGCAAACAAAAATGTTCAATATGAGAAATACTTTTATTTTAAAAAATATGTCACTGCCCTTTGAGTTCATTAAAATCTTTTACATTCAGATAAATTAATTCATACATGTTTTAATACAGAGTAACTACAATACATATCATTTCTCTTAATAAACAATAAAACGAACCAAAAAATATATATACAAACACAAAATAAATGCTGAGGTGGCTATAAAACGTATAAAGCCCAGCAGTATTTGTGGTGCTTTGTTTTGTGGAGCTGAAATCAAGCTTCCGAAGTCTGTAGTCTATAAAACCAGCTCTGATAACGATGTCGAGAGATCTATAGTACCACTGTGTCCCAAACAGTTGCAGTCGAAATAGTCTGTATTATTATTTATTTTAGATCGCCAATTAAACATTTGAGTAGAGCACCAACAAAAGACCCATGGTTCTGCTACAAATAATAATTAAAAATACTTTTTTATATTGTTAAACCACAAATGGTAACTACGAATTAATCATAGCTGCGTCCGAAATCGCCAACGACATTTGAATGTTCTATTCGACCGATTAAAAAAAGTTTGTTCTATACAATATGAATGCGAGTAGTATTAATGGAACTCGGACGTACTACGTCATGATGACATGACCTACCCGCGTCAGTTGCGTCGCTTCACTCCCATTCATGAATTATCTCGCAAAGCATAAAGGGATAGCATAGTGTCCATCAGACTTCAGAATCTTGACGGAAGTAGTAGGTCATCTGGGTGGTACTTGCATACAGTTTTTCGAATTTGAATTTAGACAGCGCTCAGCTCGCATGTTGTCTTTAGCGTACTATATAGTATGGAAGTATGCGATTTCGGACACAGCACATGTTTTTGTTACACTCACCACAGGTCATCCATGGTATTTGTAGTAAAACTGCGATCAAACAAATAGCAATCGTTATACCAAAAACAACAACAACATGATTTTATAATAATAATAATACCCATGGTTAATATTTATAGGGAAACATTATCTGGATCTTTTAACGTTGGATTTGTTTTGAGCTCTGGTGATTTGTTTTGAAACATCTCTTTGCATTTCTATTTCAAAATATTTGTTACATAAGTTTTGTAGCTGAATTTATGATGAAAGATTAAATACCTTATTTTTTCCCCTGAATTCTTTGCAACAAACTTGAAAAAGATATAATTATTACATAATATTTATCGTAGTAGATTACTATGACTATTAGTCGTAGAAGTTTTAATATTAGTTACTAATAAAATAATAATATATAGTTGAAGTCAGAATTATTAGCCCCCTGAATTATTAGCATCCCTGTTTATTTTTTTCTTGTATTTCTGTTTAACGGAAATAAGATTTTCTCCACACATTTCTAAAGATAATAGTTTTAATTACTTATGTCAGTTACCTGATTTATTTTATCTTTGCCATGATGACAGTAAATAATATTTCACTAGATATTTTTCTAGACACTTCTATACAGCTTAAAGTGACATTTAAAGTCTTAACTAGATTAATTAGGTTAACTAGGCAGGTTAGGATAATTAGGCAAGTTATTGTATAACGATGGTTTGTTCTGTAGACTATCGAAAATCAATATAGCTTGAAGAGACTTATAATTTTGACCTTAAAAGGGTTTTTTAAAAATTTAAAACTGCTTTTATTCTAGCCTAAATAAAACAAATAAGACTTTCACTAGTAAAAAAAATATTAGCAGACATACTGTGAAAATTTCCTTGCTCTTTTAACCCTTATTTGGGAAATATTTTTAAAAAGTTCAAAGGGGGGCTAGTAATTCTGACTTCAACTGTATATAATTATTCACAATGCTTTGTGGGATTGTAGTTTTTTCCTGTCAATTCTTTGGATATATATATTTTTTTTAGAAATCAATAAAAGTCAAATTTTGTTATGTGATTTATGTGACCTAAAATGGCTTATTTTGTCTGACCTTTCTCTAAATCTGCCCCAATGTTTCTGCTATTTCATGTGTTGTAAAACACAATTTAGCTTATTTTTTATTCATCACAGGTCATGTCTGTTTATACGTTTTCAATATTAAAAAAAAACGTATATTCTTCCTCTCCGTTTTGGCCTTCCGGTCCACACTGAGACGTGGTTTTTAGGCAATGAAAACATATCTCTTTGAAAACGCTGTCCAAAGTGTATTCATGTGAAAATGCTGGTTTCGTGTTGCGATGTGAAAATGGAGGCTTTCAAAAACGATGACGTATTTTAGTCATGTGACCAATTTAACTAACATGGTGGATGACGCAAACCAGATGTTTTAAATGCTGTCTGTTTTGTCAGCTTTATTAACATCAGTTTGTAAATGCTCCGTATTGCCTCTCTTCGATGGACTTACTGGTAGCTATTATTCAGCGGCGGACAATCGCGACATTTTGCTGCAACGTTTCAAAGAGACAAAGTAAATTAACGGAAGATGGATATAACGCAGGTAAAAGTGTCTTACATCTGTACGCATGAGCAGTATAAGAACAAAATCGGGGTTTTTTTTACCCGTTTTAGTGTGGATGATGGAAATAACTGAAAAAGACAGTGTGGAACGTTTATAAACAAAACCTCCATTATTCGGATTACTGTAGACACTAAATTGTAAATATATGATGAAAAGTCATGGAAATGAACTTTTTGTAAGTGAAAATCATGGAAAAGTCCTTTGGGGTAAAGTGGAAGTCTTTGTTTAAAGTGGGCGGAGCTACCTGAGACACCTTGACTAAAACAAACGTAACATCACCAACAATAACAGCTTCGGCACATGTTGATTGTCAGGTTCATAATAACGTCATTGCTGTGGCAACCTGTCAGGACACAGTAAGAAAGAGTCATGATTCCCTCAGAGCGGCCAGGGCAGGTCACTGAAGTCCACTGGTCCCCCGAGACCTGCGTCGGCCTCCAGCAGGCTCATGATGATGGCCATCGCCGCTTCATCACTGCTGGGGCTGCTTGAGCCCGGCTCGTCCATGATGTCCCCGATCCCAATGTGAGAATTGTCACCTGTAAACCAGAGACCGTGCTGTGAGCCGTTTCATAAATAATGCTGACCAATGAATAGTTAATACATCTTTAAAGCTTACTTAAAATGGAGCTGTTTGAGTATGGGTATCCTATGCTGTCCTGGCCTGACCCAAGCCCTGCAGAGGGAATGTCTGGAGTCCCGCCATTGGACATCTTGAGCAGTTAGGAGAAAAAAAGAAAGAAAAACAATTGGAAGATACATTAAAGGGTAGCTATATTATGCCGCTTTTTTTCCTGAGATGTAAAATAAGTCTGATATCCCTTAAATGTGTACGTTAAGCTTCAGAATACCACACAAATCATTTTTTAGAACTCTTTGAAACGGCCCCTTTATAGGCTTTGATGCACACTGTGCTGTTTTAGCGACTGTTGCTTTAAATGTAAATGAGATTGTGCTCCCAGCCCTCTTTTCAAAAATAGTCTATGGAGAATACGGTGTTTATTTGTGCATCGTAAAACTCATCAATCTTGACGCCGTAATGCCTCATTCACACTAGCAGCGACTTTGTAGCTGCCTGACGCTCTGGGTGGCGACCTGCTGCAAACAGGTCTGTGTAGGTCTACAGCATGGAGAATACAACCAGCCCCTAAGCGAGCTGAGAGAGGCTTACGTGAGCTCTACTCGTGCTCCTATTGGCTGTCTCTCAAGAAAGTCGCTCTTCATTTGCATAAAGTTGAAGGATTCTCAACTATAACAAAATAACCCCCATAACATCTATAACACCACAAGCCCCTGTACAGGTTAGTAACAGACTAAAACACTATAGATGGAGCAGCGTGGCACGCTATACAATGTTCTTAGAGCTCCGACTAATACATTGACATTAATGCTTGTATACTTAGGGTGCTTTTACATCTGTAGTTCGCTTCATTTGGTCCGGACCAAGGGCAATAAATGATACATTGTTGCATTTTCTGCTGTCTTTGGGTCGTTTTCACACCACACTGCTGGCTTTGGTCTGAACCAGTTGGAACGAATCAAAATGCAGTCATCTGACAAAATTCCCATCTCTCATTGGGCGGGTGTTGTTAAACATATTTCCTAAATTGCTTATTGATTGGTCAGAAATTACGTGCGGGAAATGCTAATGAACTCTGGCAGGTAAACAAAACCGGCAGACACAAAATGTCGTTTTTATTTTAGAGGGACGACTGCGCTGACCGATTGTATGCCTGCTTTAGACAAACAATATATTTCGAGAATGAAGCGCGGCCACGGCTGTAAAACAGTGTTCTAATGCATCGCTCGTCACTCGTTCACAGGAGGCGGCGTAAATTAATTTAGCTAAACTGCGACATGGTCATCTTGCGGAAATATTACCAACGATCCACCAGGTAATGTTTTCCTCTCTCTCTCTCTCTGTTGGTAAAGCGCTGTCAACAAATATTGTTCCTCCATATCCCATAATGCACAGCGCATCGGCCTACGGCAGCTGGATTAGTCCAAAAGGCGCAGTACTTTTTGCGGTTGGACCTGTTTTAGTACGGATCATGTTCTCACCACAAACGAACCGCTCCAGGGTTCGTTTGAAAGCGTACCGAGACCACCTCTTCAAGCAGGTCTCGGTGCGCTTATTTGGTCGCTTTTGGTGCGCACTCGAGTACAATTGCTGCATTCTCACCTGCCCAAACGAACCGCACCAAAAGGGAAAACGAACTCTAGTGCGATTCAATCCAACTAAACAAGGCAGGTGTGAAAGCACCCTTAGACTGTAAAAGGCTATCTAAGGGGATAGACCTTCATCTCTAAACTTATAATACTATTTGAATCATATAGTGATAACTCAAAGTTATTAATAGTTTAAGTAAATCGGTCTGCTTAATTCTATAGTACTGATCATAGCATGACTAAATAGCTCTGTTTGATTTAGCAGATAGCAGCTCTATGGGGACTAATCTGAGTAAGTAGAGTTCTGCCATTTTAGGATAGCGGTAAATCGTAAACTGTTTAGTGACCAAGACTGACATGCTTGTGTTTGAGATTGTATACTCGGCCGGTACAAGACTCAGGATGTTATAGGAATCCAAATGAACGAGAATAATATACAATAACAAACCGAAGAAAATATTTAATCTTAATCTAATGTATTATTAAAAAAAACAAAATAATCTCATCAATGTTTTATAATTGGAGTCAGATAAAACAAGGATAAATATATAAATATTCTAAACCACCTCATACTAAAATTGGAGTCAGATATGAGTTACATTTAAAGTAAATCAACATTGTGCACTGGAAAGACCGAACATGCAGGTAACCTTCGCCCACCAGTAGACACTGTCATTGGACTAACTGGCTGGACCTTATGGCTAATAATTCTGACTTCCCACTGTATATTGTGATACAGCTACAATTTCACCAGATCACTTGAATAGCTTTATTTTTCATTAAAGTCATTAACTTAGATTGGAGAATGGAGCAGAAGCGTTACCTTTCTGGCAGCTGGTGAGGAGGTGTCGGGAGGAGGTGTGCTGTTGGAGATATTCAGCGGGCTTGAGCCACAGCTAGAGGGCGACGAGCCTCGTATCCTGTCAGGTTAGAGCATTAAACCACATGAGACGTCAACGGAATCACGATTTAAGAGTCTAATAAAACTGTAACCTGATCATTCTTACCTGTGAATCTCCATCACTTCTTCTGCGATCATGCGGCCGATCTTCCCTGCTCCTGCTCTTGTGCCTCCGGGGAGTCCAGGAACGGTTTTCCCTGAGCCTGCAGAGCGACATCATGAAAAAACCCTGTTATGCTGGATTCACATCACGTCATTTAAAGTCAGTGTGATTTGGAAGTTGCAGAGACTTTTATTTCAAGAGTTCACACTTGGCTTATGATTGATTATAAAGCTTGTCCCGGGAGAGAGCCCTGAGCTCATAAGATCCTCAAGCCCGGGGCTCCCTCCTGTTTGCAGGGGGAGAGGGGGGTTTGAGCTCAGGTAGATCTCGAGAACTCCCCTGCTGTAGTAGCTAATGAACAGATAGTGGTTGCTCTTAAAAGATAACTACTTACTATGAGCATGTCTATGGTGCTGATTTGGATTAGCCAATTAACTTAGGCCGTACTCACACTAGGTACAGTTGCCTCGAACCGGGCCAAAGCACGCTTGTCCCCCCTCCCGTCTCCCCCGACGGCCCGCGCTCACACCATATCGGGCCTCGGCACGCTTACGTCATCGCTGCTGCGCTGTTCAGAAGCGCTCTCTATGGCAAGCCTTTTTAGCATTTAAATCTTTGTTCTGACTCCATAAATATATTTAGAGATATCTCTAATTATATTTTGACTAGTCATAATTATAATTCGACTAGTCAGAATAACAATTAGAGATATCTACAATTGCAATTGTACTAGTACGAAATCAGATTGGAGATATCTGCAAATATATTATGACTAGTCATATTCCTCCATTGACTTCCATTGAAAAATATTTGCAGATATCTCTAACTGAGTTTTGACTAGTCACAATTGTAATTAGAGATATCTCTAACTGAGTTTTTACTAGTCATACATTTGGAGATGTCTTTAATTCGTAATATTTAGAGATAATTACAAATATATTTGAAGATATCTTTAATTAATTTACTAATAGTCGAATTACAGTTGTAAATATCTTGAATTGGATTTTTGACGAGTCAAAACTCAGAGATATCTGCAAATATTTTTTAATGGAAGTCAAGGGAGGAATATGACTAGTCATAATATATTTGCAGATATCTCCAATCTGATTTCGTACTAGTACAATTGTAATTGCAGATATCTCTAATTGTCATTCTGACAAGTCGAATTATAATAATGACTTGTCAAAATATATAATTATATCTCTAAATATATTTATGGCTAGTCAGAACAAGGTTTAAATGTTAAAACGGCTTGCCATACGCTCTCACTCAGCAGCACAGTGGAGATTTCTCGAGTTATATCCTTTCAGTCGTTTGTTATGCAGTCAAATATTTCGCCAAACAGTCCTTAGGGATGCGGGGACACAGTCAGATATTTTAGCGAACAGATCCGCCACTTTTGGTGCTCATAAACAATCAAAGCTCTCGTGCTGCAGGAATGAGGAGGTCTGCTGAAGGCGCGCAGCTGGCGTGCTGTGAGAGGTTTGCGTCTTTAATAAACTACGGCAGTTTGCGATCACTGAACTGTAAGAATGATTAATAAATCCATATCAAACAGTCCCATAAGTCACGTCTCGCTTTCGGTTTCGGGCTTTGGCGCGTTTCGCGCTCACACACAAGCGTACCGCGCCAAAGCCCAAGTGTACCGCGCTCAGGCACACCTCTTCCAACCGGGCCAGGGCCGGCCAAGTGAACCGTGCTTGAGCCCGATTCAGCGCACTCACACTTCTCAAACGATCCGGGAAACGGGCCTGGGCACGGTACGGATGGCATAGTGTGAGTAGGCCCTTAACTTGTTAGAGCAACCAACTCCCATGCGAAAAGTCGCCGGTTCAATACCAGCTCGGAGCAGGTTGGGTGGCGTAAGACTGGCGGGGTTACATTATATAATGCTTTGAATATTAAAGTCAGTACAGTTAGTTCTTTAATATCTGTCTAGCACTAAGCGGAATCCTGATTATATATGCTCAAAGATGTGTACTGATTGGCTGTGACATTGTGCACAGAAATGACCAGAGCCGGTATTCAGCAGTCACTACGATGTAATTTGTGTTAAAGGGGTCCTATTATGCCCCCTTAAACAACATGTAAGATACGTCTCAAATGTGTGTATCTAAAGTTTCAGCTCAAAATACCAAAGATAATGTTTTAGAACTCTTTGAAACTGAAGCTTTGATCCCAGTTGTGCCATTTTGGTGACCGTTGCTTTAAATTCAAATGAGATTGTGCTCATTTCAAAAGGGGGCGGAGCTACAAACGCCTATGCATCAGCATAGTGGCAGATTCAAAACTCGAATGGCGAATGGCTGCTTCTCACTCAGGGTTGTTTATGCTAATGAGGGTGAGATCATCACTAATGGGCGGGCCTTAGGGAGACAAAGGGAGAATGTCAATCAAAGTGTTTCTGCAGACTGCTTTTATCAAGTGTGAGTATACAAAATAGAATGAATTATTTTTTACTATTTGAAACTGGTGATAGTCACACACTCTTGCCACACAACTGGGTTTAAACCCCTTATAAAAGTGATTTTTTTGCATAAAAGGCCCCCTTTAAGAGTGAATAAAATCCACCCACCGTCAGCAGCTGTAAGAACACTGTCCATACTCTGGGGGGAGGCAGAGAGCTGAGGAAAACCAGGCTCCGCTCCATCAACCGAACTGCCCCTGACAATAAAAAACACAGCCATTTCTGTCAATACGCCATCATAGAACAACACAGCATCCTGTTTCATCTGGAGCACTTACGAGACGACTGTATTGGTAGACACGATGTATTCTACTTCTTTGGTCCAAGGGTTCATGAAACTGAACCAGCGACTTCTTAAAGTTATAAAAGAGCCATCTTTAATCTTGAACTTGTAACAGTGAGTGTTGATCTTCTCTCTCATTTGTAGGACTGCGAACAGAGAAATAAAGAGCCTATCATCAGATGAGCTATTGATATGCAGTTGACATCAGAATTATTGGCCCTCTTTTTAAATATTTCCCAAATGATGTTTAACAGCACAAGAATGTTTTCACAGTATTTCCTATAGTATTTTTTCTTCTGGAGAAAGAAATTGGTTTTATTTCAGCTAAAATGAAAGCGTTTTTGAATTTTTCATGGCCATATTATAACAGAGTTTCTGCAGGTTTCACTAATGCCGAGTTCAGACTGCATGATTTTCAAAGTAGTCGTGTCATAGATGTTTTCACACTGGACTAGCGTTTTGTTGCTGCTTTGTTTACACTGCAAGATGGATCGGCGACAGGGACTTTCACATTGCATGACTACTATTGGAAGAATCGCCGACAACTTCGTCCAAACTCTGTCTCACAGTCAAAAACACGTAGCATATCTTTTGTTATTAACTACACAATGAGAAAGAAGCCTTTAATGGGGTAGAACATGTACATGTTTGCTCACCTGGGTTTAAAGGGAATTAGCCATTTCTCCTCAACGTTGATAATAAACTAATTTCTGTATGAAACGTCAAACAGACACGGTTGCTCCTCAGTCCTGTCAAACCTCCACTAGTTTTTCCTCCATTTCGTGGGTCCAAATAAACCGAAAAGAGCGCTTTTAACTTCTCGCCCAGCCTCCCGCTAGCCTGCAGCAGGTATACACACACGCACACACAAGTGAATGCTGCTCTCTCATTGGCTGTAGGCGATCGCTGATGTTATTTTCAGTCAAAACTCAATTCACACGGTATGATTTGAATCGCCGACAGCTCCAGATATTCAGCATGCCAAATATCTCGCAGGCATCGGCGACTCATCGGCGATTCTCTCAGATCACGTCTTTGATAGTTCATACTGTGTGATTGTCACTCACGTGCACGAGCAGCGATTTGCCTGTGATTTCAGGCATTTGTCTGCGATTTCTCAAAACCTGTCGGCGAGCCAAAATCGGGGCTTAAATCACGCAGTCTGAACTAGGCATAAGTTAAATTTAAGACTTTTTAAAACCACCATGAATGAAATTTTAGACTTATACAGGGCTAAATGCTAAGGATTTTTTTCGAATCTCCCAGTGAGAAAAGATTTCCACTTTGCCCTATCAAAAATGATTCTAATTTAATACATTTAATAACACAATAATAATTTTGTTTTAGCAGTTTTTAAATATATCCATTCACAAACCCTATAACCCTTACCAAAAACAGAACCATATATAGCTGCCAATTACTTCAGTCTACAATAATTATACTTTAATAATAAAAATATATATAGGTCAGGTCAGTATCCTCAGCAGTAAATAAATGGAGAACTTTAAAGCAAATGTTACTGTGAGGAAAGTAATTAAATGCTCGTTTTAAACAAAACATTTTATTGAGATTGGGATTGTTGGTGATTGTATAGGTGTTATTGTCCAGCTTGGGTAGCTATACATGAGGAAAAGGAAAAGGAAAAAACAAAGGAAAATGAAGAAAGATTTAAGACCTGCAACGCAACATTTCAGTAGATTTAAGACTTTCTAAGGACTAAAGCTTTTGAGATTTAAGACTTTTTAAGACTCTACAGATACCCTGTATTAGCCCTCCTGAAGAATATTTATTTAGATTCTCCACAGAACAAACCATCAGTACTTGTGTAATTAACTTGCCAAGTTAACCTAGTTAAGCCTTTAAATGTCACTTTAAGCTGAATACTAGTATCTTGAAAAATATCAAGTCAAATATTATTTACTGTCATCATGACAAAGATCAAATAAATCTGTTAATAGAAATGAGTTATTAAAACTATTATCTTTAGAAATGTGTTGAAAATAATCTTCTTTCTGCTAAACAAGTATTGGGGAAAAATATGAGCCTTCTCTATTCAGGACTGTGTTATTTCACCTTGTCTATGGCATTCAGCGAGATGCCCGATGTCATCCTGATGGAAATACTCATAGAAAGACGTGCCCAGAAGCTCTTGAGGTAGATAAGCAAGAATGGCTGTGGCCCTAAAATGAAATAAGGCATCCGTCACATACAGAGCAATTCAATACTGTACAAATAAAAGGCTACATCTTCTTTTTAAGGCATAGTTCACCCAAAACTGGAAATTCCGTCATTTACTCACTCTTCACTTGTCAGAGCTAACCGCATAGGATGATCAAAAATAAAAATGTTGCAAACCGGTAACCATTGACTTCCATAATAAGAAAAGGAAAAGTAATATTATGAAAGTCAATGGTTAAAGGTGTCTGAAAGTTTTTAAAATATGTTGTTTTGTATCGAGGACCAGGAAATAAAATGAAGAAACAAAATATCAAGTTAATAATAGAAGCGGCGACACAGTGGCTCAGTGGTTAGTACTGTTGCCTCATAGCAAGAAGGTCACTGGTTGGAATCCCGGCTGGGTCAGTTGGCATTGCTGTGTGGAGTTTGTATGTTCTCCCATGTTAGTGTGGGTTTCCTCCAGGTGCTCTGGTTTCCCCCACAGTCCAAAGACATGTGGTATGAGTGAATTGAATAAGCTAAATTATCCAAATCCAAAAATAAATAAATTTGTTTTGACATAATATCTACCCAGTGAATCAGTCTACACTTGACTAATTAAATCAAATGTGCAGTCAACTAGGATATACTTTAAAAAAACAATGCATCCATACCTAAATATACTTTGTTTCAAGCCTTATATAATTTAAACATCTGTTAAACCAATGTGACTTTATTTTTGAATATTTAACAAAGTTAAGTTTTGTTTTGTTTTGCTTTTATGTACACCATGTGTTACATACATAATTAATCTAAAAATACACAAATATAAATCATGTCAAAACTAATTTAAATGATATGTGATTAATCGCGGTAATTTGAATCTAATAATTAAATCTTAATAATCTTTTTTTTTTTAAGTAATATCGGCTTTTAATCGAAACGTGCCGTCTCCCAGTGATGAATGTAAAATAAAATATGTTGTCATAAGTGCAGATAACAATTTCTTTTATTAAATCTTAATACTTCAGTCAAAACTTAAATAATTGAATCAAATGTGTCATCAACGAATCAAATGAGTCAAATGAGTCAAATAAGATATACTTTGCCAAAAAAAAATAATAATCATATATCAAAACACTAAGAGTCAATCAGCTTAATCAAAATATGTAAATAAATAATATATTAATTGATTTGTTATTTGTTTTTCCAAATGTCAAATTAAGTTACATTAAATAAAGATGGTACAATATTTCTCCAATATTTTGAAATGTCATTTTCTTAATCCTTAAACTAGATGTAGATTAAGTAGAATAAACCCATTTGATTTTATTTAATTTAGCAGAATTTGAAGTCATATATTCATTCTAATATGGAACATCCCCTGCTATTTCCATTTCATCTCGACTTCAATACAAAAGGAAATGAAGCTTCCACAGGTGCTGCTAACACATAAAAGCCAAAAGGTGGCTTTGTCATCGAGGCATTGAGCAGTAATATTATGCGCAGTGTGTCCTATATTTCAGCCTCTAGCCAGGCCATGACCCTACTTCTAGCTAAACCATTATTCCATGGCTATATCTGGATATTGACCAGCATTGTGCTGGCCAAATCAAATAAGGCATCACGCTAACATCAGGATGGGTCAGAAGGTCACCAACAAGCGTTTGATCCCAAAACTTTATCCATAAGCCGACAAAAAAAAATAAATAATCTCAACCAATAAGTGATTTTACATAATCTTTTGGGTGACACTTAGGGTGCTTTCACACCTACACTTTTGTTTCAGAACCGGTCTCGTTTGCCCAGTTAGCGCGGTTCGTTTGGCATATGTGAAACCACCAATCGCTCTTGGATCCGCGCCAAATCAATCGCTTCGAGATCGCTTGAATGAGGTGGTCCCGACTCGATTGAAACGAACTCTGGAGTGGATCGATTGCAGTGAAAAAGCGATACGATCCTAGCGCTATATGATTGTGTTTTATGGATATGTACTAGGCATCCAGCTATATAAAGAGAGAATTATGAGTAGGGCAGGAAGTCTCCGGATGCCCGCAAATGAGTGATAATCTCCCAGTAATCTTGCGTCTCCCTCCCGATCCTCAAATAGGCTACGTCGCGCACCCTTCTCACCCCTCCCCACCGCATCTCTCCTCAATCTTCAGACACATCGCGTCCACCTTGTCAAACACCACCAAACCACCACCTCCCCTGATAGCTTAGCGGGACGTTGCAAAATAAACCCTGACACTCTGACCAATGTAAGGAGAGTTTACTCACACGTGACTTGTTTTAGCTCTTTTGGTCCGATTAGAAACTTTGCAGTGTGAAAGCGAACCGCTCCAAGAGCAAAGAGCAACAATGTAACGTTTGTAATCTCTGTTTCGGAACAACTGAATCGATTCACAGGTGTGAAAGCACCCTTAGACTTGTGTCATTTTGAATCTGGAAAAGTATCCCCGATTGCATTGGTCATAACGCGTTATTTTAGGTTATTTAAAGGTCCTGTGTTAAAAAGAAATGATTCATTGTTTGACAATCTAAACTGAAAAATGAAGAGAGGGACACAGTACGTAGAGTATTACACCTGCTCAATAAAAATCAGATGATTCACTATATTTATAAACCTGACAAAACTTGATCAGAAATCTAAAAAGGGGAGAAAAAGATTAAGGCATCAATAGAAAGTAGCACTGTGGTTAGAGTCTTGCAGATTCCAAACGCACTGACACAACAGTGCCATTGTGGTCCAGTGGTCAGCAGGTTGCATTACGCTGCCGCCAACCCGAGTTCAAACCTCACCTGAGTCATTTTATTATTATCATTTTTATTATTATTATTATTTTTATTTTATTTTTTTCATTTTTAGTGTTAAGACATATAATGCAGTTTGGGTTACGCATTTTGGTGTACATATTTAATTTTTATTTTTTTGTGTGAACACCGTTACAAACGACTGGATACCTATAAAGTATTTTGCACAGAATATATATTCAGATTTTGCAGGAAAGGACAATGTGATGTTTTAAAGAATAGTGTTGGAGATTTAGCTACCCTTTAATGTTCTCATATTTATGAAAAACAAGTGAAAGCAGCTGCTTCCTTGAAAACTATGTGATCGTGTCATTAGAAACTGAATTGGAAATGACGTTATTTTAATATAGTCAGTCGTGAACTGAAGTGGGCCCGTCCAAGGCTTGAAACTCCAGGGCTGAAAAGGAGTCCCACTCCGGCCCTGACGTAGCGTGTAGTTAGGACTTATGGTTACAGTGTAACCTGCTCACCTAATGTAAACGTTTGTAATATTTATGTTATTTGCTAATTAATAACCACCTCATGTGGAACTCTAAATCTGCGTCTCATTTCATGGTCTGCTACTTTCGTGCTACTGCTACTGTCCACCAGAAATCGCATTTTTAGTCACGGGCACATGCTTTGAGAGCCTTTACGACTGAATGTATTAAATATCCTGTTTTCCACCAACGTAACCCGGGGTGCTGAAATATAATTTCAGATAAAAGTGGCAGTGGGCGGGTTAAATGACAGTGGGCGGGTTAAATGACCAAAACTAAGGGCGTACTCACACTATGCTATCTGAACCGTGCCCAGGCCCGTTTTCCGGATCGTTTAAGAAGTGTGAGTGCGGTTCACTTGGGCTTTGGCGCGGTATGTTTGTAGTGTGAATGCAAAACGCGACAAAGCCCGAAACTGAAAGAGAGACGTGACTTTAACTGACTGTTTCATATGGATTTATTAATCAATCTTACTGTTCAATGAACGCAAACTGCCGTAGTTTATTAAAGACGCAAACCTCTCACTGCACGACAGCTCCGCACCTTCAGCAGACCTCCTCATTCCTGCAGCACGAGGGCTTTATGATTGTTTATGAGCGTCAAAAGTGGCGGATCTGTTCGGCGAAATATCTGACTGCGTGTCACAGCATCCCTAAGGACTGTTTGGCGAAATATTTGACTGCATGTCACTGCATATCAAACGACTGACACGATATAACTAGAGAAATCTCCACTGTGCTGCTGAGTGAGAGAGCGCTTCTCACTGAACAGCGCAGCATCAATGATGTAAGCGTGCCCAGGCCCGGTTGTAGTGTGAGTGCGGGCCGTCGGGAAAGACGGTAGGGGGCGCAAGCGTGCTTTGGCCCGGTTCGAGGCAACTGTACATAGTGTGAGTACAGCCAAGGACAGCAGTTCCGGCACTTAACGAGCAGAATAACTGACTTCAGAATTGTTTTTCAGATAAACAAGAATGTTCATGTAGCATGTTTCTTTAAATATCTGCAAACATATTATGGTATTTTTATGCTTCAGATGAGTCAAAAACTTACATACAGCAACTTTCAAAAACTCACATAATACTGCTATAAATGAATTCCCGCCATCACTGCTTAACCAAGAGGCTTATAGGATGACACTACAAAAATATCCGTGAAACGTTTGTAAATTAAAACATTTTTATCCACTAGCAGTCAATTATATCAATTTCTTGTTTGCACACATTCCCCTTTCTGTATTTTGTTTGTGAAATTTAGCAAAAATGTGTTGGCACCTTGAAACATCAACATCATTTCATGTTACATGTTAGGTCACCACTTGCCTTTGGTCCACGAAGACAAACTTCCCATCGATGGCGTGGCGTGAGACATACTCTGTGGGCTTCACCCGGATGTCTCCATTCACGGGTTGTGGGACAATGTGAGGATGTAACCGGCCAATGGCCACTAAGCAGCTGAGATTACAGCCTTCGTTATCAGGCTCATTGTCTTCATCTAAACCCATTTTGGTGGGCGGCCAGCTCTTCAGATAGCCTGTGCTGTGGATGGTGCAGAAGCTCTTGCGATCAGCTGTAGGAAGAAGAAAGCAATATTTAGAAAAATTACTTCTTTCACTAATTAAAACACCAGCAGAGCAGAATACAATATCCAGAGCAATGGGGTATTAGAGGAACATAAACACCTCACTGCCAACTAGTGTTTTGGAAGTGTTTTTGCAGAGGAAAAGAAACAGCAGCAAAAGTATGAATGCACAGCTACGCGCGTTGCTTGAGCCATGGGTCACACCGATCACTTGACGCAGAATTATAAACCAGGGTTTAGTGTGTATAGATGTTTCCCAGAGATGGGTTGCAGATGGAAGGGCATCCGCTGCGTAAAACATATGCTGGATAAGTTGGCGGATCATTCCGCTGTGGCGACCCCAGATTAATAAAGGGACTAAGCCGGATAGAAAATGAATGAATGAATAATAAAATATAATTAGTGCTGTCAATCGATTAAAAAAAAAAAAACTAATTAATCGCATCTTTTTTTTTTTAATTAATCGCGATTAATCGAATTTAAAATACTGAAACTTTTAATTTTGGCTATTTAAATGTAAAATTAATGTAAACACAAGAAAAAAACTATTTAAATTCAAAATATAATTGTTTATTAGAATTAAAATTCAAAATATAATTGTTTAATAGAATTTTTGTTTAACTTGTAACAGATTTCTTCATGTAAACAACATACCCACAATAAACCATCAAGATCCTGGGTTGACAGCCATATTTATTAAAGAAATTAAAACACAGGCATGTTAATGATATTTAAATTTCAAAACAATCAATGCCAATAAAGAAAACATTGATTTCCATGTTGGATTCTAAGTGGACTGCAAAAAAATGCCAAAATACAGGAATTGCAGATATGGAAAATGAAAAATTATAATAATAAACTATAGAATACAAACTGTTGCACTCATTGTAAAGTTTTATTGCTGTGAGTTGAAAACATCAATTATAGAGTAGAAACTATTTTGCTTAATCCTCCTTTACATTCATCCAGTTGATAAGACTAGGAGTATCCCGCAAGTGCACAGAGACTCCCAAATGCCCGCAAATGATTGACAATTTCTTGCAAACTGGTAGTTAAATACATTGCACACCCCTCTCACCCCTACTCAGATATGTCGCTCACTCCACCCTACACCCCTCAACGGGCCTGACACAGACACACACACACAGACACACACACAACGCGCTGCAGACGTTTTGGCCCCAACGGCCTTCCATACTGGAGCGACTCCCCTCAAATTCAACACGCATGATCACGTTCATCAAATTTGCTTAAACTAAGCATCCTAAAGTATTACTGTATTTCACAAGGATTCTGACACAACAACGCGAAGCATACGCTTTCGTTGCATTTAATGAGGAAACGCGCTAAACTTGGAGGGCTCATGCTGAAAGGCAGAGTAATGCCCTGTCTTTGACAGCTCACGACTTCACCAGAGACGTTCTGAGTACATTCACATAAGACACCAATACTCCGATTTTAATATGAAGATTACACTCTTATTAAAATTCTACCGTGTAGCCTTAAAAGGAACCTTACCTTTAAGGAACACAGAGTCACGAAATGCAGAGTATTTTCTTTCTGTTCGCCATGCGGTATCAACTTACAACAGAAGTCGAAAGTTAAAATTGAAACACCCGAAATTGCATGAAACTTTGGAGAGCCTGGTGATGCGACTAATTGTTTTATACTGGAACTTGCCTTCAAAAAGTGCTTCCTTGGTCTTATCCACATTTATTGCATGTTAAACACACATCCACCACAACAGGAAGTAAAAAACCTTAACTGCGTTAATTGCGTTAATTTTTTTTAACGCGTTAATTATTTAAAATTAATCACATGCGTTAATGCGTTAAATTTGACAGCGCTAAATATAATATAATATAATATAATATAATATAATATAATATAATATAATATAATATAATATAATATAATACAATATAATATGATATAATATATAACAGATGCACTTTTGTAGCTTGGCCATATTTATAAATAAGTAAATAAACTAATGAACTGATTTACCTTTCTTTTTGGAGCAAGTCGAGGGAAAATCCTTGTCCTCCATTTTGACCATAGACCTGTTGCACTTCATTCTGCAGAAGAAGGAGCGTCGGGCCCCTGAGCACAGTCTGGAGGGACTAGGTGCGATGTCTGTTCTGACCGGCAGCCCGGCTGAGAACATAACAATGCAAATCCTTTCAAAAACTGCCACAATGTTTTAAATGTACATAATGAAAGCCTGGGTTAAACTATACAACTTTTTTGGAGCATATTTTTCAAGGCAGAGTTTCTCATTTCTACCACTAGAGGGTGCGCATTCATTACAAACTAAAGCTGCGTCCCAATTGGCACACTATACTCTCATGCACTAAGTACTTATGCACTTACACACTCAACAGTATAGTATTTGTATTTAGTGTTGTCCCAAATGGAACACTAACGTTTTTTTAATGAGCGAAATTTCAACCCGTCTCCCAGATGACGTTTGGCGGTTGCTAAATTAGTGAAATAAATTAACAAAGTACCAAATAATACCTGCCGTGAGTATTACCGCATTCTCCATCGGGAGGCGCTATAATCACTTTCATAGGAGAATTTTGCAATTACAATCCAAACTAAATAAAGTAATTCAACATGTGCGGCTGATAGCTCCGCCCCTTCCGCTATGTGAGCAAAGCAGCGGTCGTTGAGTGTGTGAAGTATCCAACATTCCACACTTCATTTTACCAGTCCAATGAGTGCATCATATGCCTAATTAAAGTGCACTTATCATTTTTAGAGTTTTCAGTGTGAACGCACTACTTACACTATTTATACAACAAAATGGCGTAGAATATTGCATAAGTATGCGATTTGGGACGTAGCTAAAGGCATAGTTTGATGAAGCTGTGACTGAGTGTGGAATCAAAGTAGTTGCTAAAACACGTTTATGGATGAGCTAAAAGTATTAAAAACTTAATATTATGATGGTTTGAAGTCGAGTAAATCTAAAATTTATCACACTAAATACATGTTATGGTTTTGTTATAATGCTGCTCTGGGCAGTCTAATAAAATAAACATATTAAAGCAAATTTAGTATTTTGTTATTTATCATGCAGCAATTCGTTTTGTTACTGGTGCACCATTTAATACTCATCACTAGCTATGTTTCCATCCAAAAATGCGAATAAACTTTATGCGCAAAACTGGATTATTGCATAAAAGTTGTGCGAATGAAGCAGCGTTTCCATCCAACGAGTCAAAGCGAACAAAATCGTCACTTCCTGATTAACTGGCGCCAAATATCAACAGTAAAAACTGCATTTGCTGCAGTAGGAGAAGCTGCATCAATCTTTTTTAAATGAATGCGCCTCAGAAAACAATCCTGACAAGCAGTGAGCGCGCAGTGGCGTTTAAAGGTGTCAGACGCGGAGCACAGGCGCTCTTGATTCTGGAGGTCATTAATAATATAATAACAATAATAATGCAAATGGTAAGGCGTTTTATAATGACCAAAACAACATTTCAGATGTTTTATAATGTGCTCAGCCTGACGTTTTATCCATTCACACACATTTTAAGCATCACATGATCTCTTTTAACAAAATCACATGACCTTTTTTAATGCGCATGCTGGAGTTTGTGCGGTAAAAGTGTTTCCATGGCAGTTTATGCGCATCTTTTCTTATCGAATAAAAAGTTTATCCTACCCAGTTAGCCGCATAAGTTTTTTATGCGCATTTTCAAAATTTATGCGCATCATGGCATTTCCATCAACTGTTTTTTTTTATGCGCATTAGCAAAATGCGCATAAAATAGGTGGATGGAAACATAGCTACTGTCAACTGTATTCTTCACTGAATTGGCTCTCTCTTCAATCACATAAACAAATTCATTGGTGTCTGTTCATTTACAAAACTCTTATTGGCAGAACGCCACTATATTTAGTAGGGGTGTAACGGTATTGTAAATACCGTCATACCGCAATATTCATTTTTTTCGATATTACCTTAGTCGCATGACTCGGTAAAATTATAGGTCTTCTGAGAAAATTTGCTCAGGCGAATGAAGCGAACGGGAGGTAGCGGAAACTACAATTCCCATCAGTCCTTGCGGTCTGTTGTCGCTACAGATACAGTAATGCGGAAATGGAGTGTGCTGCTAGAAGCGGGCATCAAAAAGAGCTGGAAATGATCAAACCTGAAGCGGGTGTTGTCGCTGCACGCGTACTGAATAGCGGTGTTGTCGCGCGTGTTCTGATCAGCTGTGTTATCGCGCGCGTTCTGATCAGCTGTGTTGTCGCGCGCGCACTGTAAAGCGGGGAGGGGGGGTTGAGCGCGCATACTCAAGAGCGGTGTTGTCGCGCACCTACTGAAGGGCGGGACGGAGGGTGTGACACAGCACACTGTTCATATTGATACAGACATGAGACCTCTATCTCACTCATGGCTTGTCCACTCAAGTGGGGGAAAGACAATGCACAACGTTACCCACTGCTGTCAACCTGGGCCAAGTTATATCTCTCTGTCCCAGAAACCTCAGTCCCAAATGAGAGGGTTTTTTTCTGTTGCAGGGGACATTGTAAATGCCCAGAGATACCAGCTTTTACCAGATTATATTTATATGATAATTTTCCTTTAAACCCATCTCTATCTAAGTGAGTGAGTGATTAAATGTTGAATGTGATGAGTTTTCAACACTACTAAATTAAAACTTTATTTTTTTACATGTTTTAATAATTTTTTGTTATTAAAATTGAAGTTCCTGTTTCAAAGCTTACAGATAGATGGCTAATTTGTATGTCATTGACACTTTTGGCACTTTTTTGGAGTATTTTCATAAGTTTTGTTTTTTCCTGTAAATGATTCAATAAATACCGTACCGTGACATTCATACCGAGGTATTACCGTACCGTGAAATTCTGATACCGTTACATCCCTAATATTTAGTCACTTCTTAACATTCAGGAAACACATCAAAATCTGCGCTCTAATTTCATTAACCTTTACATCCCCAAAGTTCTCACTTCATTTGGTCGCTACTTTTCAGTTTTCTGCTGCTGATGCTTGGAAAGCTCAACACTTTCATTCCACTATCATCTTTGAAAAATGCAATTCAGTCAATAGTTCAAGATCATTGTGCTTGTTTTTAGTTTTTTGTTGGTTTTATATGTTATTATCTGCATTTGTGAAATTGTTATTGTATTGTGTCCCTACTGCTTTGTACTGCATCTGCTTTTCATGTTGCCTCTTGGCCAGGCCTGGTTAAATAAAGGTTATTATTATTTTCTAGGGGATGTATTATGTATCCCATGATCTATGTTGCTAGCTGAAACTGCTTATTTCTCTGTATTTAAACAGTCTTAAACTTCAAACACTAATCATTTGGAATAATTTTAGTACACAAGTCAGCTGAATATACAGTATGAAGCTGTTCTAGTATTTTTTGGATATTTTAAAAAGTTGGTATGAATTCCATGTTGGCCCCGGTAAGTTTAAAGATGTCTAAAGCTGATATAGTGCTAGTATAGTGCTTGTCTAGTTAGTGAACCAGCATAGTCATGTAGTACTCAAACAAAACTGAGATGGTGTAGCTCTAAACTTCCACTTCCATTACTTCCACTATAGGCTTCAAAATAATTTATTTGCTAGTAAAAAAAAAAAAAAAAAAAAGGAATGGCGTTTTTTTTTTTTCAGAAAGGCCATTGTGGAGAACGTGACACTTGATGGAGAAAGTCAATACTAATAACAAAAAATAAATAAAATTGCACATTGCATAATGGTTATAGATTCAGATTTTTAAGCTTTAGACTGTGATACCAACAGAACATCTAAGTGAAGCCAATTTTAAGAGCGCATACTGTTTTTCCTTGTTATGCATATGCATATGAGGCAGTACACTGCAGAAAAAGCTTTTGTTACTTGAACTTTTTGTTGTTTCTAGTGCAAATATCTGAAAAGGCTTAAATGAAGAAGCATTTTCTAGATAAGGAAAACATATTGCTTTGTTTTAGGAAATAATATGCCAAAATGAAGTGAGTTTTTTCTTAAAACAAGCAAAATAATCTGTAAAATGTTGTTAGCAAAATAATCATGTTTTCATTTTGACGAGAATATCGCTTGTTTTAAGAAAAAACTCAGCGTTTTGTTTCTAAAAACAAGACAATATTAAGCATTTTTGTACATTTGAACAAGAAACGAGACTAAAGAAGAGCATTTTTTTCCAGTGTAGATGTTCTAGGTATATCATGCAGAATATTGGACTCAGGATCAGCCACTTGGTAAAATCAGGATGAGCTTTGTTATAACCACAAATCAGAGGCATATACTAACTTTTAGCATCGATGAGTCTCTCGCGTGGAGCTGTATCAGATGATGAAAGCTGCTCTTTGACTTTTGCAATATCTTTAGGATGCAAATAATCGAACAAACTCTGGCCAATCAGGTCATTCTGTAAGACGGAGAGAAAACAGATGGTGAGTCACAACACTGTCTGCTGATTTATACAGTTGAAGTCAATGTTATTAGCCCTTCAGCGAGTTTATATAATTGTTTTAAAAATATTTCCCAAATGAAAAAGGGAGCAAGTCATTTTCCACAGTATTTCCTATAATATTTTTTCTTCTAAAAATAAGTCTTTTTTATTTCGGCTAGAATGAAAGCAGTTTTTTTTTAAAATAATTTTAGGTCCATATTATTAGCCCCCTTAGGCAAGATTTTTTTCAATTGTCTACAGAACAAACCATCGTTAAGACGATTTGCCTAATTACCCTAACCTACCTAGTTAACCTAATTAACTTTAGGTCACTTTAAGCTGTATACTAGTGTCTTGAAAAATAAATAGTCAAATATTATCTACTGTCATCATGACAAAGACAAAATAAATCAGTTATTAGAAATGAGTTATAAAAACTATTATGTTTAGAAATGTGTTGAAAAAATATTTTCGTTAAACAGAAATTGGGGAAAAAATATACAGGGGGGGCTAATAATTCTAGAGGGCTAATAATTCAGACTTCAACTGTATATGCATCATATCATGACGTAGTATTTACCTGACTGTAATTTAGAATTTTGTAGACAGACTCTGAGACAAAAAGGATCTTCCCCCGATCGCAGCCCACAACGAAGAGAAAACCATCAGCAGCCTGAGAACAAGAGTGAATCATCAGTGAATCACAGCCTGGGTTTATCACCCAGCACATCCCATTTTAAGATCACCCACCTTTAAAATTAAGTGCTTCAGCTCATCGTCTGATAAAAAGGCCGGCTTGTAGTTAGCTTCAGTATAAGGGTTTGCAGCACCTTGAAAAGACAGTATAAATGAAGCATATGCATGAATGATCGATTAGTAATTGTTCAAACTTGTCCACTACTAATCAAGTCAAAACAGCTTTAATTGTAATTATATTTGCCAATTTTATAAAATAATTGAATGGACATGGTCTGCAACATTACTCAGGTAGGCTGTGGCGTTGACACGTTGCTCAATTGATACTAATGGGCCCAAAGTGTGGCAAGAAAATATCCCCCACACTATTACACCAGCACCACCAGCCTGAACCGTTAATACAAAGCAGAATGGATGCATGCTTTCATGCTGTTGATGCCAATGATAATTGTAATTAATAAATAAGCAATAGCCACAAATCCCTCACACTCGCTCGCTCGCTATTAAACCAGAATTAATAATGTTTTGAAGTTAGTAATAATATTAACAGGCAGGGCCGGCGCGTCCATAGAGGCGACCTTGGCGGCCACCTAGGGCGGCAGTATAGAGAGGGCGGCGTCCGCGACACCTCCCTTACCACCCGCGTCCTCAGTTATGTCCGCGACACCTCCCTCACCACCCGCGTCCTCAGTTATATTCGCGCATAGGCAACAGAATAGAGAGGGCAGCGTCCACGACACCTCCCTCCCTCCCTGAGCACCCGCGTGTCCTCAGTTATATCCGCGCATAGGACGGCAGAATAGAGAGGGCAGCGTCCGCGACACCTCCCTTACCTCCCTTAGCACCCGCGCGTCCTCAGTTATATCTGCGCATAGGACGGCAAAATAGAGAGGGCAGCGTCCGCGACACCTCCCTTACCTCCCTCAGCACCCGCGCGTCCTCAGTTATATCTGCGCATAGGACGGCAGAATAGAGGTCCGCGACACCTCACTTCATTTTCATAACTGGTCACTTTTGTTTTCACATTGGGGTTGAGGGCGGCGTGATCGTCTTCTGCCTAGAGCGGCAGTTCAGCTTGCTCCGACCCTGTTAACAGGGTTCATACAGGTACAGCCTAACAAAAATCAAGGACTTAAGCACTTTTTTCCAGCACCTATTTATATTTTTAAGACTGGCACGCAACGTACTGAACACCTGAAATGTATTCTCAGCAACCCATAAAAAAATTGCATAGAAATTTATACAAATAAAAACAATTAATAATAATTAGTAAAATAATTAATTAATCATATATTAGTAATATAATAAACCTGCACTAAAAGTGCTTGTGAAATGTTTTTTTTTCTCAATTAAAAATACCACTACACTGCTAAAATAATACAAATTTTAGTAAATAATACTAATATTAGGGAAAAGTACAAAGTTCTCTTAAAAAAAAAAAATACTCACAGTACTAGTTAGTTTTTTTTGTTAGTTTTTTTTTTTTTATTAATGCAAGAACGATACATACAGAACAATACCAGAGATATACAAAAATGAAAAGTATATTAAAAATTATATAGCGATACAATAACTCAATAGATAAAACAAAATAATATAACAAAAAAGATTTTAAAAGTATATTACAAATAAATAATGCTAGGTCATGTTAACTCACACTAACTTAAAAGTGTTCAACAAATGAAACTCAAAAGGTCAACTCTCCACTAGCCGGGCTTCCAGCTAACTCTATCAAGCCTCTTCAGATGCTTCAGAACGCAGCAGCACGAGTGGTCTTTAATGAACCTAAAAACTCATCCGTTTGCACTGGCTGCCAGTTGCTGCTTGCATCAAATTTAAACCTCTGATGTTTGCCTACAAAGCGACTTCTGGCTTTGCTTCTTCTTATCTGCTCTCACTTCTGCAGATCTATGTGCCCTCCAGAAACTTGCGTTCTGTGAATGAACGTCGACTCGTGGTTCCATCCCAAAGAGGGAAGAAATCACTTTCCCGAACTCTCGCATTCAATCTGCCCAGTTGGTGGAATGAACTCCCTAACTGCATCAGAACGGCAGTCACTCGCTGTCTTTAAGAAACGACTAAAAACTCAACTATTTAGTCTCCACTTTCCTTCCTAATCTGCAATTCCCTCTCTGGATATACCACTCACTACTACAAAACAAAACAAAATAAAAATAAGTGAAGTATATTCATAAACACATTTCGAGAGGATCACGTGCTTATGATTGTTCACAGCTGTTCCAACTTTAGCTAATGACTGATTATCCTATCAGACGATCCTTAACTCACTATAAATAACCAGACTTTTCTAATCTCAATATCTTAGTCTTGAAGAAACCCCCCCCACCCAACCCTACTTTCCCTCCTTTCAAACGAGTGTCACGGTGGCCAGCGATTAGCGCTGTTGCCTCACAGCAAGAATGCCCCTGGTTTAATTCCTTTCCAAACCAGATGGCATTTCTGTGCGGAGTTTGCTCGTTCTCCCCGTGGTCGCATGGGTTTTCCCTGGGTCCTCTGGTTTCCTCCCACAGTTCAAAAACAAGCACTCTAAACAATTAATCAAAATACATTAGCTAAACTCTGAGTACACCATCCAGCATACATATCCGACACTTAGCTACAACTAGCAAGAAGGGGAGTCATCGAGATCTACCTGAGCTCAAACTCCCCTCTCGCCTTGCAACGGAAGGGTGCCCCGGGCTCGAGGATCTTATAAGCTCAGTGCTCTCTCCCGGGACAGCACGCCAAACTAGCTTTACTATCAAACATCAGCTAAGTGTGAACTCTTGAAATAAATAAATAAATACATTTACTAATGTTTTGCTTCTTACACTTTCTTTACATACCTGAAACTTGTCTAGAGCACTTATTCATTGTTGCTCTTATAGTTGTGTAAATTGCTTCCTTGTCCTCATTTGTAAGTCGCTTTGGATAAAAGTGTCCGTTAAATGACTAAATGCAAATGCAAATATACAGTTTTAACAGCTTTTATGTTTGTACTCTCCTTAATAGTATTTATATAAATATGTAGTTCTGTAAGTACGACTAAAAACAGAGGTTTCTGATTGGTAAATTTACAACGATGGATATATAACTTGGTAAGTATGATCAGAAGATTTATCACATAAGCTTGACTTTTCAACTTCTTATCATATTTTAAAAAAACAAAAATAACATATTCATACAGTCAAAGAAAATTTGACAGCACTTTATCATTTATTGAATTTAGACACCTTCCCCCATAACCGTTTTGTATATGGACAATGCCAGAAAATATGAGGTACTGTTTCTGGGCAAATAAGAAGAAGTCGGTTAGCATTGTCATCGGTCAAGCATCAATCTAATTCTAAATACTGAATAGTTTTTGATTACTTTAGTCCAGGAGCAAAGAAAAATAATTTCTACTTTAATAGTGAAGAGATCACGATTGCATACAGTCTGAGCGCACACACGCGATGATGATTGCAGTTGATTTGAAAAAGCTTGGTTAAGAGCTCGCATATCCGTTTTTTGTGATTAACGAACATGACTGCGCTCTCATGTTAAAATATAGCACTTGTGACATTCGCCGAAATGAGTAATTGCACAATATCTGCATTCCCGCGCCGACATTCCCACTGTGTGACAGGTCAGAGGCGAGTTAACTCGTCGTCGGAGAGAAGAGAGCGAAACTTGTGTGTAGATCATCGAAATGGCAGGAAGTATGTGCGCGGTTTAATTACTCTTGCTAATAACATAGACATCTCTATAGTGAAAACATCTGAAAATCATTATTCCACCAAACATTTGTTTTTCAGTTGTTTTTTTCGGTCAATGTAATACTGAAAGCCCTTTGTCCCGCCCTTACGTTTCATGTAAAGCTAGGCAAGGTCGACTATGATTGGCCACTTTTCATATCAATCAAAATTCACAAACATTTTTTAATTTTTCCGTCATGAAAACCGCATAGAAGTTCTGCTTATAATTTCAAGCACTTTTCAACAAAACAAGCCAGCTTTCCAGGTATTCCAGGCCTTGAATTTCTTAAAGCCAAATTCAAGCACTTTAAGCACCTTGTGCGAACTCTGTATTAATAATAATATTATGTATTATTATATTATTATAATTCAGTGTTTCTCGTCAATCAATATTAACGGCCGCCCAAGTATTTGGAGACATTTATTTTTTAATATTACCATGCTTTTACACTTTTTTTGTATTCGCCAATAGCCAAACATCCATTAACCAGTGGAAATACTTTTCTTGCCCTACATGTGTTCTACTTACATTAACACTCTCACAGAAACGTTCCTTTTGGGACTTTAAAATGCGTCCATCTGGGGTTTCTATATTTTCTAAAATCTCCAGGATTTGGCTATTGATTTCTAGGGGTGTCAAAATTTATTGTTTCTTCGGTGCACCGCGATGCAGACGCGAACAATTCTGTATCGGTTTAGTAATAATCATAACCGGTTATTATGTACTGACGTCATTTATCTCCTACGCGCTCTGTCGCGAGGGAGGTGAGCGCGAGTATTTACAACACTCAGGCATCTCAGGGCCGGCCCGTGGCATAGGCACCATAGGCATATGCTAAGGTTTTGTTTTCGATTTTTCTGACACACATTCAGTTATAGATGGCAATAACTCAGAAAAGTGCTTCTTTTTTATTTATTTTTTTTTTTTTTTCTGCTCCGCTCAGCGCGAGCTATCCCTGTTGCGAGGGCTCAAGGACTTAGTGTGTGTGTGTGTGTGTGTTTTTTTGTTTGGTGCTGTCTATGTTTGTGTATGTGTTTGAATGAGAGACATTGTGGTGCTGTGTGACTGTGCGTTTATACAGTCAGCTTGTCATAGCCTCCCCCCTTAAATATAACACTGTATATGGAAAGCATCGTCAATGCACCGTGATGCACCGAGATATTGAATTGAACCGAAGGCATGATAATCGTAACCGAACCGAACCGTGAGACCAGTATAGGTTCACACCTCTATAGATTTTGCTTTCTAAGTCGTCGTCATTTTTATTTTAAGGCTGATTTTCTTTCTCTTGGCTTTGCAGCTGACAGCGAGTACTGAAAGACAGAGAGAAACATATCATTAATTTAATTAATAAAACCTATTTTGGGTCTGCACTTGTGCCATCTTTTTGGTTTTAACAAACTTATCCTTCAAGTTTTTCTAAACTTTTAACAAAAACTTTCCTCCTTTCCCATGATTGTTGCAATTTCTAGCCAATAATTATTGGTTATCTGGTTCTCCCTATGATCACACATGGATGAATCATAAAGATGTCCATACAGGCGTACCTGTTTCAGACAAAATATCTTCACAGTGATTCATATTCAACTGAAAACAAATGCGGCGATGCACAAACTCTTCGCGAGAGTCTCAAAAAATGTTGTAAACTCCTTCAGCCTAAATCATGTCACGCGCACCCAAAGCGAATCTCCGCAAACACCATAATGACGTCATAGTCACCGCGAGCACTCAAGCCAACTAGTGGACATGCTAAGTATAAACCAGGCTTTACAACACTCAACTATAACATGACTTGTCTAAGAATGACCCACCTCGTAGAGTTTTCATATGCTGGACGGCCATGCGCAGCACCGTGAGCTTGTCCAGCTTGCGGGACATGGCATTGCAGGTAGGCACTAATGAAGCCAGCTCATCGATAAAGCTGTTCATCTTGTCTCTGCGTCTCTTCTCTATCTGACTGTGAGCCTCTCTGTTGACAAGCAAGAATCCAAAACAGAAGTACAGTTAGAAGAAATGGCACACATTATGAATTCAAATCATCTTCATCCATTAATAAAACACATAGATAAGCTCTGGATTACAACACCTTGCGTTCTTCATCTGCTGATCGGCCCTGTTGAGAGAAAAGTGTGGAGTTTAATGTTCCAGAAATAAAAACAGCAGGAACCTACAGTATATAAACAGGTGCAGCGACTGGTCAAACATTCTATTGTCCCAAAATCTTTAAAATTATTATGATTTTCATTGCAATCCAAAAAAGAAACATGAATGGTGAATGAAAAAAAATAAAATAAAAATGAAGAAATTAGTAAGATTCTGTGAAAACACTTTACTTGAAGGGGGTGTTCATAAGACTATCATGACACCTTTTTAATCATAACATGACATATAATCATGAAGATGAAGGAGATTTTAGACTTAAAGGTTTAGTAATCTGAATTACGGAGACTCCTTCCCCCAACTTCAAGAGCCCTATCATACACCCGGCGCAAGACGCGGCGCAATAGTCTTTTGGTAGTTTCAGCTTGCCGCAAGAGTCGGTTTGAGGCGTTGCGCTACGCTGTTTAAATAGCAAATGCATTAGCGCTCATTTGTGCGCCCATAGGCGTTCTGGTCTAAAAAGGGAGGAGTTCTGAGGCGGACTGCTGGCGCGTTGCTATTTTGAGAAACTTAAATAGATTTTTCATTAGACCAAAACAAACCCGGTCTAAACTCCGGCGCAGAGTTGCGCCTCGCTTACACACTGCTTAATACGCACAAGAGAGCAATAGGCAAATATCTTTACATATGAAAACAATTTAAATATTAAGGATATATATAGGATATAATAAGAATAGATATAGGATATAAATATAAAGGATTAAAATATTACAAAACATATTATTTTCTAGCCTACATAAATATGAAAAATCACTGCTGTCTTTTTCATCTCAGGAGGCTTTTTCAGTTCATTCATAACTATTTGCTTTTGTGTAATGTTATTATTATTAGCAGTATTATTTATTATATCCATATTTATATTTGTTTTATTAAAAACAAGCTTAGATTTGCCCACCTGTCAGGTTTAAGACCATATAGGGCACAGCATGTGTATTTGGAAATAACTCAGTATTTTGAGCACACTTGGTCATTATTGTTCATTTATTTGTTTGCTAGAAATTAGAACTGAATTTAGAAATAGTTTTGAAACAAATATTTGCGCTTAACAAACTAAATTAATTATTTATAGGCTAATTGATGTCTGTGCGTAAAGGTTTCCCTATCCAAGAGCGAAAGTGAAACTGATCCATTATCTCTCATTCTCACGCAGTAGATGCTCTGTTTAACAGTTTTCTATTAAAAAACTGTTAACTGTAAACTGTTTGCTTGTGAAATGCTCAGTTTTTCCATTTAGACTTACTTTACGTCCTGTAAATAGCGAATGCACTCTTGGCGCGACGCAGCTGGCTCTTAAAGGGAATGGGAGATGAGACTCTAATTGGTTTATTCTCAAAACACACCTTTAACTCATTAAGAAAATAAACTCAACCCTTTTAGACCATGCGCCGCAGCGCAAAGCGCATTTTCCCCTCCGTAAATTAGCAAAAATTTTAGCAAATGTTTTTTTTTTTCAGCATTGTTTTAAATATCTCAATTTATTAATTTATTGATTTAATTTAATTATTTAATTTATTTGATTTATTTTAGGTTGGGTTAATATTACCTTTACTTAACCTTTAATACATGTAAAGTTTTTTAGAACTTTTTAGTGTAGATTTTGTTTATATACAGGGCTTGACATTAACTTTTTTGTTCACCAGTCACTGTGGCTAGTAGTTTCCCAACGTTACTAGTTACTTATCATTTTTACTAGCCACAATTTTTGTTTTTGGAAAAATATCATTTATACAGGTGGGCATAGATTAATTTTTTAAAAATCTAGATTAATCTCACTGTAATCTTGGAATTAAGATTAATCTAGATTAAAATGGCTCATTTGAATTCTGCCAAAGGCATTCAGAATATGAGCGCTGCCCAGATAGCACACAAAGCCCATGTAAACTGCGCTCTAGCACGCCGCACTCTGGCACTTGGGCTCTTGCGCGATACGCTTGTAGAGTGAGTGCAAAGTGCGCCTGAGCCCAAAACTGACAATGAGATGTGACTTTTAAGGGACTGTTTGATATGGATTTATTAATCATTCTTACTATTCAATTAACTCAAACGGTTTCAGATTATTAAAGACACAAACCCCACAGCTGCACCTTCAGCAAATCTCCCAATTCCTGCAGCACGAGGACTTTATGTTTAACTTTGGCTCAGTTTAAGACAACTGTACATAGTGTGAGTATGCCCATAATGACAGTTGTCATAAGCATGCATGAAATCCTCATCATATTCATGACAAGAGTCGTGTCATGATTATACAAGTTTAACAACATTACCAACACCCCCTTTAACCTCTTAAAGCCCAAGGTGTTTTATTACATGCATTTTTTAAATTCTCATTGCTATTTTAGCTTATTGGAACATAATTCGAATAAAACCTAAGTATCATCTTGTGATATGATGTACTTTTAGAGAAAAATTATGTCATAGATGTGGACTTGTGGTCTGAGTTTAAATAAAACACTGTTTCCTGACTTAATTACTAACATTATTAACACTTAAATATTTATGTGTTATTAATGATTTAATAACACATAAATATTTTTAGAACATGTTTTGAATATCAGAGAGTAAAATCACAATTGTTTGCCCATTTTGGACAGTTAAAAATAGTGTTTGGGACATTAAATAAGCTGCAAATCAGTTGCAGGATGACACTGTATGTCTGTAACAAAATATAAAACATTCAAAGTGTTTTAAAAAGCCACTTAAGAGCTAAAATGCTGTCCATGTATGTGGCCACTAAGCCCTAAGAGGTTAAGTAAAGCATTACCAATTTGAGTTTTAACTTCCAAGGTAGTTTACCTTCCAAGTGGTTTGTCCTTGTCTGTGTCCATACTGTCCCTTTAAAATAAACAATAACATACACATTAGCTTAAATAGCTCAAATAGCTCACGAGCTGACTTGTCAATACAAAACACTGTACACACATCTATACTCAAATAAATCATTTCTCAAACCACATGAAAGTTCTCTTTAAAGCAAAATAATAGCCCTCTCTTAAAGGGATTTTTATTATAGTCCATATATAATTCCACCTCTGGTTCATTTCCCCTCACTCAATGTCATTAGAGGACAAGAATCCCACAATATACTACCAGTATGAAATATGTTATGACTCAATATGATATAACTCCCATTTAATGCATCATTAGCTGTTTCATAATGGCTGGTTTCATAACGGACCAGAATGTGAGAAGTTTTACACGCTGTTTACCTAAGGCCTTGACACTCAGATAACATCTACTGTACTGTAGATTATTTCTCCCCTTGTTGGTTAAATAACTGCTCTACATTCAAACTTTGTAGTTACCCAAACTCCTGTGGCCTAAACAGCTGATTATATCTAACAATTTAGGTAATAAATGAAGAGTTCAGATGTAAAAACCTTAAAGTTCCATCTGAAATGTTCTTCTAAAATGACTATTTCCTGTGATATTAATATTCTATAAATATTATATTTTAGTGAAAATAAGTGTTTCATTCATTCATTTTCTTTTCGTCCCTTTATTTATCTGTGGTCGCCACAGCGGAATGAACCGCCAACTTATCCAGCATATGTTTTACGCAGCGGATGCCCTTCTAGCTGCAACCCATCACTGGGAAACACTCATATACACTCATTCACACACATGCACTACGGACAATTTTAGCTTACCCAATTCACCTATACTGCATGTCTTTGGACTTGTGGGGGAAACCAGAGCACCCGGAGGAAACCCACGCGAATGCGGGGAGAACATGCAAACTCCACACAGAAATGTCAACTGACCCAGCCGAAGCGCGAACCAGCGACCTTCTAGCTGTAAGGCGACAGCACTTCATACTGCGAATAAGTGTTTCAGTACTGGTAATTAAATAAATGTTTATTGTCGAACATACGTCTTCAAACCATATTGTGCAAGTTTGTCTTAAAAACATTAGCTTAATACTCAGCAGATAGGTAGAGTCTGGTTAAACTAGATTGAAATGAGAGAATAAGATACAAAAGAAAAGGTGTTTGCACTTAATAAAGTTTCATTTATGTCCCCAAACTGCTGTATGATCAATTTATGAACTGACAGCTCAATGATCATGGCTGTTTAGGTACTGATATTAAAGATAATACAGTGCATCTGAGAAGTATTCATAGCGCTTCACTTTTTAATTGGAGTTCACCTGTGGTAAATTCAGTTGATTGGACATGATTTGACAAGGCATACACCTCTCTATATAAGGTCCCAGGGTTGACAGTGCATGTCAAAGCACAAACCAAGCATGAAGACAGAGGAATTGTCTGTAGACCTCCGTGACAGGATTGTCTCGAGGCACAAGGCTGGGGAAGGTTACAGAAAAAATTCTGCTGCTCTGAAAGTTCCAGTGAGCACATTGACCTCCATCATCCATAAGTGGAAGATGTTTGGAACCACCAGGAGCTATCCGGCTATCTAAGCTGAGTGATCGGGGGAGAAGGAACTTAGTAAGGAAGGTGATCAATAACTCGATGGTGACTCTGTCTGAGCTCCAGCGTTCTTCTGTGGAGAGAGGAGAACCTTTTAGAAGAACAACCATCTGTGCAGCACTTAAATTGAACTCTTTGGAGTGAATGCCAGACATTACGTTTGAAGAAAACCAGGCACCGCTCATAACCAGGCTAATACCATCTCTATAGTGAAGCATGGTGGTGGCAGCATCATGCTGTGGGGATGTTTTTCAGCAGAAGGAACTGGAAAACTATAGTCAGGATAGAGGGAAAGATGAATGCAGCAATGTACAGAGACATCCTGAATGAAAACCTGCTTCAGAGTGCTCTTGACCTCAGACTGGGGTGACGCTTCATCTTCCAGCAGGACGATGACTCAAAGCACACCGCCAAAATATCAATAGAGTGGCTTTGCAACAACTCTAGGAATGTCCTTGAGTGGCCCAGCCAGAGCCCAGATCTAAATCCTATTGAACATCTCTGGAGAGATCTGAAAATGGCTGTACACTGTCGCTTTTCATCCAACCTGAAAGAGCTTGAGAGGTACTGCAAAGAGGAATAGGCAAAAATTCCTAAAGATAGGTGTGCCAAGCTTGTGGCATCATATTCAAAAAGACTTGAGGCTGTAATTGCTGCCAAAGGTGCATCAACAAAGTATTGAGCAAAGGCTGTGAATACTGATGTACATGTGATTTTCCAGGTTTTTTATTTTTAATAAATTTGCAGCAATTTCAAAAACTTTTTCACATTGTCATTATGGGGTATTGTGTGTAGAATTTTGAGGAAATACATTAATATAATCCATTTTGGAATAAGGCTGTAACATTTAAAAAAATGTGAAAAAAGTGAAGAGCTATGAATACTTTCCGGATGCACTGTATGGTCACAGATTTGGGTCTTGAACACTTTGTGTCTCTGCATGAAGTGAGAAGTCAGATATCAAAAGGTTCTGAAGTACATTAAAGTTTTAAAACAAGAACAGACTGGTCAGTTTGACCAGCTGGCATCTCTTCATCCATACTCACTGACCGGTCACTCTCAGGGGACTGTGTGAGCTGTGAGCTTGGGATGAGGAATCTCATCCATGAAGAGTCAGATCTAAGAGGATAAAATTGGTATTTTTCTCAAAACCAAAGAGCTGATATATTTCTTTTTTTTTTTAATTAGACGTGTTTGTCCTTAAAGGAACACTCCACTTTTTGTGGAAGTAGGCTCATTTTACAAATCCCCTAGAGTAAACCAGTTGGGTTTTACCATTTTTTAATCCATTCAGCCAATCTCTGTATCTGTCAGGACATTTTTAGCTTAGCTTAGCATAAATCATTAAATCGGATTAGACCATTAGCTCAAAAAAGTTTTTCGATAATTTTTATATTTAAAGCTTCACCCTTCTGTACTTACATTGTGTACTAGGTAAATTTAAAATTAAAAGTAGCTATTTTCTAGGCTGATAATCAAGGAATTTTGCTGTACTATCATGGTGATGTAACTGCAGAAAAGTCAAGATTTTAATAGAAAAATTATAAAAAATTATTTGATAATTTTTGTTAATTTCCACTAAAGGAGTTGTAATTGTTTTTTTTTTTTAAGTGGAGTGTTCCTTTAAACAGAAAGACAAACACTTACAAATGCGTTCTCTGTCTGTAGCTAGTGTTTCAGTGACAGCATGGTAATGTATATTACCATAACATAACATAGCACATATTATAACATATTATTCTTATAATAGCACTTTTTATATAGTTTATGACCTTGGTTATAGCTTTGTCCTTTTTATAAAAGGAATTGATGGTTTTAAAATAACTTTTTTTTTTTTTAAATAAAAGGTAACTGAGATGTTCTGATACTTACTCAAAAGAAAATCCATCGATTCTGGGAAAAAAAGAAAGACATTGACAAATTAAATTTCAGATCATCTATTAAATGGAAGATTTTGTCACGTTTCCAGTTTGTATCTTTGATAATACTTCATAAACTATATTTATTTATGTTTATATTTAACTGAATAGAGTATTACTACTGTGGATCACTAATGCAATTAAATGTTATGTGTAGTGTGTGTAGAGAAAACGGAGGCTTTTCAAACCAAAAGTGTGGACAAGAACATTACGCAACTCCATTGTCATTCTTTTATACAACACACTTAGGGCTCTATTTAACGATCTAGGCGCAAAGTCTAAAGCGCATGGCATTAAAGCATTAAGAGTGTGTCCGAATCCACTTTTGCTATTTTTAAGGATGGAAAAATACACTTGGAAAAATAAGCTTGGGTTGAGCTTATTTTCTTAATTCTGGGTGTGTTTTGAGCATAACGTGCATTAAACCAATGAGAGTGCATTAAACCAATAAGACTATCTCTCATTCCCTTTAATATTTAGTTGTGTCGCGCCATGACGCATTTGCTATTTACATGGCGGACTTTGTAAGAAGAAAAACTGAACGATTCACTAGCGAGAAAACATTTTAACAGACCATCTGCAGGGAGGAATGATCCTTCTCCATTCGGCCTCTTTGCTTTCTCTTTACTTTACTTTTACTCTTTACTCCTTTACTTTCGTGAATAAGGAAACGGTGTTATACGCACTCCACTGAAGACATCCATTAGCCTACATATTTAATTTTGTTTGTTAGGCGCAAAGATTTGTTTAAAACTATTTCTAAATCCAGTTCTAATTTCCAGCAAACGAATGTGTGTTAAACATGTGGTCAAAGTGTTATATCCAAACACACGTCCTATTGTTATGCCCCATATGGTGTCTCTTACTCATAGTCGGTGATGCTGCCCTTCCTCTTGCGGTTGAAGTCCATGCCTGTGGAACCCATGGAGCTGCTGATCAGCTCAGTGGAACTGGGAGACATGAACTCATTCATCGTGGAGGAGATGTCCATTCTTTGGTCTGCCATTAGATCATCTGCAATAAATACAAACAGCCATTCATTACTGCATAGACACAATTGAAGTATTTATTTATTTATTTATTTAATAAAAGTTGTGATAATTTTATTCACAAGCGCTGTTTAATGGAGAGATTTTATGTCCGACCCATTTCTAAACATAATAGTTTTAATAACTCATTTCTGATAACTGATCTCTTTTGTTTTTGCCATGATGACAGTACACTGTAATAAATGCTGGTTCCACACAAATGATTTGTGTTGGAGTTCATTCATTCATTTTCATTCGGTTTAGTCCCTTTATTCATCAGGGGTCACCACAGCGGAATGAACTGCCAACTTATCCAGAATATGCTTTACACAGCGGATGTCCTTCCAGCTGCAACCCAGTACTGGAAATCATCCATACACACCCATTCACACACATACACTACGGCCAATTTAGCTTATTCAATTCACCTATAGTGCATGACTTTGGACTGTGGGAGTAAACCCGGGTAGCACCCGGAGGAAACCCACGCCAACATGGGGAGAACATGCAAACTCCACACAGAAACGCTAGCAGGCACAGCCTAGTCTCAAGCCAGCGACTTTCTTGCTGTGAGGTGAAATTGTTAACCACTGAGCCACCATGACGCCATCATCATGAAGGAATTAAGTTTACTTATTAGTTTTTACACACTTAGGTGGATTGAACATAAAACAATTAGGTTGTCACAACAAAACACTTTAATAATATTTGACTGTTTGTTAGTTTGTGGCAATGCAGTGGCGCAGTGGGTAGCACGTTCGCCTCACAGCAAGAAGGTCACTGGTTCGATCCTCGGCTCAGTTGGCGTTTCTGTGTGGAGTTCTCCATGCGTTCACGTGGGTTTCCTACGGGTGCTCCGGTTTCCCCCACAATCCAAAGACATGCGGTACAGGTGAATTGGACAGGCTAAATTGTGTGTGTGTGTATGTGTGGATGTTTTCCAGAGATGGGTTGCGGCTGGAAGGCCATCCGCTGCGTAAAAACTTGCTGAATAAGTTGGCGGTTCATTTCACTGTGGCGACCCCGGATTAATAAAGGGACTAAGCCGACAAGAAAATGAATGAATGAATTGTTAGTTTGCAAGATACTGGTATTTAGGGCTCCACGATATATTGGAAAAAACTGACATTGCGGTATTTTGTTTTTCTGCGATATATATTTAATGATTTGAATATTATTATTTAATATTCAAAATATTATTATTGCTGGATAAGTTGGCAGTTCATTCCGCTGTGGTGACCCTGATGAATAAAGGGACTAAGCCGAAGGAAAAGGAATGAATAAATATTTTTTTAAAGTGGGTGTTTACCAGTACTGGAAGGGCATCTCCTGTGTAAAACATATGCTGGCTAAGTTGGCGGTTCATTCCGCTGTGACAAAAATGAAATAAAAAAAATGTAAATGAATTGATGAATAAAGAGACTAATTTGAAGGACAATAGATGGGCATCCTTCCAGCCAAATTACATTCCTTTCTAGCCAAAACTTTCTCCAGAAGAAAAAAATAAATATAGGAAATACTTTGAAAATGTCTTCTTGCTCTGTTAACCATCACATGGGAAATATTTGGGAAAAAAAATTACAAATAATTTCTAAAAATACTAATAAATTATAATAATTAACTGTAAATAGGTAATAGAAGACTGTAAATAGGTTATAAAAGACTGTAAATAGGATACAGATGTGCTGAGGTTCAAAGGTTTTTTTTCAGATGATAATGAAAATACTTAATACTAATAATCCATTTTAAAGAGCTGAAAGTATAATAACTCAAGAAATAATTACATAGATACATATAGCAATATTTTTAATTAAATATTTTTTTATTGACTGTTTGTTAGTTTGTAAGATACTAGTATTTAAGGGCTGCTGGATATTGGAAAAAACAGACATTACGGTATTTGTTTTTCTGCAATGTATATTTAGTGATTTGAATATTATTATTTAATGTTCAAAATATTATTATTGCTGGATAAGTTGGCGGTTCATTCCGCTGTGGTGACCCTGATGAATAAAGGGACTAAGCCGAAGGAAAATGAATGTATAAATATTTTTTTTAAAGTAGGTGTTTAACAGTACTGGGTTGCAGCTGGAAGGGCATCCCTTGTGTAAAACATATGCTGGATAAGTTGGCGGTTCATTCCACTGTGGCAAAAATGAAATTAAAAAATGAAAATGAATTGATGAATAAAGAGACTAATTTGAAGGACAATAGATGGACATCTTTCCAGGTAAACTGCATTCCTTTCTAGCCAAAACTTTCTCCAGAGGAAAAAAATATATTGGAAATACTTTGAAAAAAGTCTTCTTGCTCTGTTAAACATCACATGGGAATTATTTGGGGAAAAATTACAAATAATTTCTAAAAATACTAATAAATTATAATAATTAACTGTAAATATGTAAAAGAAGACAGTAAATAGGTTATAAAAGACTGTAAATAGGATACAGAAGTGCTGAAGTTCAAAGGTTTTTTCAGATGATAATGAAAATACTTAATACTAAAAATCCATTTTAAAGAGCTGAATGTATAATAACCCAAGTAATAATTACATAGATACATATGCCAATATTTTAAATAAATTTAATGATTTAATTAAACAGATACACAAGTATTATTTCTCACCACAGAGATAGAGGAGGGCTGCTCTTTCTTCATTTCCTGAGGCTTTCTGACACGATCCTCCTCTGAAGAGAAGAGAGTAAAGCAGGATATTTAATCTCCACCCTGGCAAACTTGAGCATTTCATAATCCAGACATGAGACAGGGAGAGTTTACATGATGCAAGCGAGGAAAGAGACACTGCTGGATGTGAGATACAGGAAGGCTCAGAACTGTAAGAATCAGTGTTTATATATACAGCGCTTAGAGTAAATGAGTCCACCCCCTTCTGAAAAATCAATATTTTTATTCATTTCTCTGTGAATATAACCACTAATTGTTGGTGCATTTAAACAAAAACAAAAAAAATGTGTTATTTAAAACGTTAAAATAAGAGTTTGGTCATCTAACACCTTTAGAAATGAAAAGCTAATACATTTTAAGTTATTGCAATTTTTTTTATAAAATTACAAACTACAAAAAACTCAACTAAACTAGTTTCTCTTTAGTTTTTCCTGTTTATTAATTTTTATAAACAAATTTGAAAACAATTTTATATAAATGTTTTCTCTTTATTTTATTTTTTATACTATTTTAATATTTTATTTTATATAATGTTTTTTCCTGTTTATTCCATTTTTATTTTACTTTAATAACATTTTATTTAATATTATATTTTATTTGTTTATTCAATGTTTATTATTATTTAATAACATTTTATTTTAGAATATAGTTTATCCTGTTTATTCATTTATCATATCATTTTATATTAGTTTTTTTCTGTAATTTTTTATTTATACAATTTTAATATTTTCTTTTATATATTAGTGTTTTTCCTGTTTATTAAATTTTTTAATTATTTTAAATAACATTTTATATTAGTTTTTTCCTGTTTATTCCATTTTAATTTTATATTATTTTAAAAATATTTAATTTTATTATTAATTATCAATTATAGTTTTTCTACCTGTGTATTTATTGTTTGTAAAGTTTTTTTTATTTTAAATTAATTTAATATTATAAAAAATTATATTATAGTTTTTTTTTTCAAAATTTTCATTTTATTTGAATAACATTTTATTTAACATTATTTTTCCCTGTTTATTCAACGTTTATTTTATTTTAATAATATTTTATTTTATGTTACAGGAAACTACTGCATCTTGCATTTTTTGCTGTTGCGTGCTTTGCGCTCGCAGTAAAAAAAAAAAAAAAGAACTCTGAGCGGAAAAAGCGTGCTACAGCACTCGCATCTTTGTCATTCTCCAATTAAATGAAAGCAGAGTTGCGTTGAGTTGACAGCAGATTTTTGAAAACAGAGGAGAGACTAGTGATTGCTGTTTTGAGTTATCCCAAGTTGTATGACTTCATAAATCTTGAAAATCACAATATAATTAAATATTTAAATTATACCGATATCAACAACAACACTCCCGCACGATAGGCAGCTGATTGAGTCGTTTCTTAGCAAGATAAAAAGCGCAATGTGTTTCTTTTTTTCTCGTCAATGTAAAAGGCAGTGTGGTGCGCCTCACGTTTTTAGAACGGAAAATCGCATTCGATGTAATCTGCTCCTTAAGCTGCCCTTGCCAAAAAAAATAATAATAATAAACTAATTTAAAATTAGTTAGAACAAACAGCACAAATATTTTTGGAGTGTACTTTGGGCGACTTTAAAGTCAATTTTATCAATACTTTGCTTGTTCCGAACCCTCAGATTTCAGACATTAGTTGTATCTCACCCAAATCTTGTCCAATTGCATCAAACCATACACCAACACTCAAAAACAAACTGCTTGTTCAAACTATTTCAAGAGTTCACCCTTAGCTGATGATTGATTATGGAGGTTGTATGGCATGCTGTCCCGGGAGAGAGCCCTGAACTCATGAGATCGTGAGATCCTCGAGCCCAACCCCCCAATTTAGATTTGTCAATTTAGATTTGTCAATTTACTTATGTTACAAGTTTTTGGTCTGTGGGAGGAAACCGGAGAGCCTGGTGAAAACCCATGCAAACACGAGGAGAACTTGCAAACTCCGCACAGAAACGCCGACCTGGCCAGGAAGTGTCCGAGCCGGTGACATTCTTGTTGTGCGGCCGTGGTGCTAACCACTAGGCCTCCGTGCTGCCCTGACAAGGAAATGGGAAGAATAGGGGTGAAAGGGGGGATTCTTCTAGACGAAGATGGCTGAAGTAAGATACTCTGGTTATTTATAGTGGTTAAGGAGTCGTCTGATTGGTAAATCAGTGTTAGCTAATGTGGACCAGGTGCTATCAATCATAAGCATGTGCTCCTCTAGAAATCAGTCTAAAAATAAACTTCACTTAAAATGAGCCGAAACAACAATTCTTGAGATTTTATGGGGACAACTTAATTGTTTCATGCTTAATCCACTTCAATTTAAGTTTACTTAATTGATTTGTGTTGGAACAACATGAATGGATTGTGTGGAACCCTGCATTTTGTTTTAAAGTGAATGGAAACTTATTTATTTACTTCTCACATAATGTACACATCTCATTTTCTAAAAAACCTAAATTACCCTTTTGTGGTCCAGGGTGTCAAATATCTTTTAAAACAACTAAATGTATTCACTTACAGTTGAAGTCAGAATTATTAGCCCCCCTTTGATTTTTTTTCTTTTATAAATATTTACAAAATTATGTTTATCAGAGCAAGGAATTTTTCACAGTATGTCTGATAATATTTTTTCTTCTGGAGAAAGTCTTTTTTTATTTTGACTAGAATAAAAGCAGTTTTAATTTTTTTTTAAGCACCATTTTAAGGACAAATTTATTAGCCCCTTTAAGCTATACATTTTTGTTATATAATAATACAACATTGTTATATAATACCTTGTCTAATTATTCTAACCTGCCTAATTAACCTAGTTAAGCCTTTAAATGTCACTTTAAGCTGTATACAAGTGTCTTGAAAAATATCAAGTCAAATATTATTTACTGTCATCATGACAGAGATAAAATAAATAAATTATTAGAGATGAGTTATTAAAACTATTATGTTTAGACATGTGCTAAAAACATCTGAAAGATCACACAGGGGTGCTAATAATTCAGGGGGACTAATACTTCTGACTTCAACTGTACCAGATATTCAAAAGCATTTAAAGTCTCTAAGGATTTAATCTACTGACAAAATGTTCAACTACTTTGTGATGAAGCGAATAGAACAATGAAAAGAGAAAAATTACTTTTACAACAGAAATGTGTGATGACATAACAATCCAAGCAGCATCGACTCGTGTTACACAAGGCGACGTAACCTCATTTGAGAAGTACACATTTGCAGATTAACTCAGTTACATGAACGCCTCTCAGATTACTTATTAACATTATCTGTTTCCATCACATCTTGAAATAAGCGTCATTTTTCACTCATCTAAGGTGATGACCCTTCCAAGACTCTATTTTTTTTCCCTTTTGACTTCATTATCTTTGACCTATTTTTCTCCACATGACAGATCCAGGGTGCCGTGACACCCAATTAAAGCTGCTATGTAACACCCTGATCTCCGCCAGCATTCAATTACTGTGGGAGGATCATTAGCTGTTCTCTTCACATTTATAGGTCAGTCCGACACCTGCTTTCATCCACGCTATGTGAAACGTGAAGCTTACGGACATGTATGGAGGGACAATGATAATGTGACAATTGGTTATGGGAAGTGAGTGTGTTACAGTGGTAATAAGCAGCACTGAAGCCTGGTGAGGAAGTATCTGCACATCACTGACGTTTCTGACAGGAACTGTTAAAGGGATAATTCACCCTAAAATGAAAAAGCCGCCATCGTTTACTCACCCTTCATTTGTTCAAAACCTATTTGACTTTCTTATTTCTGTTGAAAAGAGGATATTTTAAAGAATGATGGTTGCTTGCACCCGTTAGCTATGTTTCCCTTAAAAGATGTGAATTGAACTTATGCGCAGAAATGAAATCTCATAAAATAATTTGCGACAAAAGCGCCTTTTCCATCCGGTGAGTCAAAAAGAACAGTTTTCGCTTCATGACAAACCAACTCATGGCAATTCGTAACTTTTTTATTTAGTGGCTACGTCATATGAAATCGTACTATTTAGTAAGAGTGGTCGGGTTATTCTCATGAAACTATTATAACAACGTGGCAAGTAGGGCTGCTCGATTTTGGGAAAAAATTATAATCACGATTATTTTGGTCATAATTGTAATCATGATTATTCAAAATGATTGTCAGTTGAGGTCAAAATTATTAGCGCTCCTGAGAATTTTTTTTAAATAAATATTTCAAAATTGATGTTTAACAGAGCAAGGAATTTTAACAGTATTTCCTCTGATATTTTTTCTACTGGAGAAAGGCTTATGTTTCATTTTGGCTAGAATAAAAGCAGGTTTAAATGTTTTGAGACAATATACATTTTGATTGTCTGCAGAAGGAGCTACTGTTATACAATGAACTGCCTGATTAAACCTTTGAATTGCACTTTGAATCTGAGTGCTTGTATTTTAAAAAATATCTAGTCAAATATTATTTACTGTCATCATAGCAAAGATAAAATAAATCAGTTATTAGAGATGAGTTATTAAAACTATCATGTTCAAAAATCTTTTTTCCATTAAACAGAAAATGGGGAGGAAAAGGGTTGCTAATATTCAGGAGGGCTAATAATTCTGAGTCCTCTGCATATATACAGTTGTTTTCCACCCTGCAAAGGAAAGAGAAATAAATGCAATAGAATAAAAATATGAAACAAACTGTGCTTTAAGCATCTTCACTGTAAATAAAACACTTTAGCTACAAAAGTCCTTCAGTTAGGAGCAGTGAGGGATTTTCTCCTTTTGTTGTTTGATTAATAAATCATAAAAACAGACGGCATCAGGAATATTGCGCGCCACACACACACACACACACACACACACACACACACACACACACACACACACAAAGAAGCATGCTGTTTTTCATGCTTTTGAGAGCAACAAATGTGTACAACTGGAAAGGGGGCGATATATGATGCAATAATCGTTTATCTCGATTAATGGTTTTTCATAATTGTTAGAAGCCAAAATCGAAATCGTATTTTCGATTA